AATGAAGAGGAGAAAAGAAAAGACAGGTCACCCCATTATACCTGTATCTTGTCCCCTGAAGAGGGGACCACATCTTTTAGCCTTCAGGAACCAAAGCAATGATACATTTCAGGCCCAGAGAACTTCTCCTCCTTAAAACTCTGCTGGAAAGGGAAACAGGCCCCCATACCATGCCCCAGCATGGTGCCACACACCGGCTCAGCCCCCTGCTGTGGGCCATGGCCAGGGCCACCTCCCGTAAGATGAACCTGTACTAGACAGACCAGGAGCACTGGGTGCTCCTGCCAAGGATCTAAGCCTTAGACCCGGGTGGCCATATTTGTACTGCCTGTAAATCCCACTGGGCCAGGCAAGACTTCCAGTGGTGAGGGGAAAACACTCTTAAAACCCATAGCTGAGTGCTAGAAGTGGGCAGCTAGAGTTTAATCTTCATTTGGTCTATTTTGATATCTCACACTATGCCTCCAGACATTAACCCTGTGCAAGCTGAGGCTGGTAAGGAAGGGGGTGCACATTGGCTCAACCAAACACAATGGGACCACAAAGAAAGAGAATGTGCTCAATAATGAAACTTAGAAAGGGGAATGTTCATTTGCTTCCCCTTCAGCCTGGTTTACAGTGGTGTCTCTGCTGCATCAGAAAACATCTTGCCCTTCAACTGCATCATACTGCAAGGCTGCCCATGCTGGAGGCTTTAACTTCTTTTCTCTGAAGCTGTAGGCCATGGACGCAAAACTGAGATAGAGGGGTCCTTGGGCTGAGTCAGGATACTATTTTTGCTGTTTCTTTAGAAATACCTCACACAGCTTCTTTTGGAAAAGAAAAGGGATCACTTGGTTGTCCTTCTGCCACAATCTATATTTATTGACAATGACATTTTTAAAGGGTTCTTGGGAGGGAGCCTATGTGGTTTCTGGGGACACTTTCCCTAAAAAGACCAGAGGATTTAGTTTATGTTTGTGTCTCTGTTCGCATTCAGCTCCCAGATTTATGCTTCCAGAGAAACGCCAAAGCTGACTTGGACAAGTCAGTTAAGTGGGCAAAGAGCATCACTTCCTACATCTGCAGCAGACATCTTTTATAAAAAACATTTTTAAAACATAAACCAGCTAAACTATATATTATGAACAGCAAGATCATTTGACATAAGATTTTCCAAGCATTTACAGATGCAACTGCATAGGTGAAATACAAGTTTAATTGATTATGCATGGAATTGTATGTACCGTATTTCTCACTGATATTAATGCAGTAAAACATTTTCTTTTGGGGCATGTGTACAGACATCTGGAATGCAGATTGTAATAGATCCCTAGTAGCAATGCTATCTCTAGAAAAAACTACTATTTTTTGAACATGAAAGAACACACTTTTCATATAACTTTGCAGTCATATTTGGAAGAGATGCCTCTCCTGATGTTTCAAGACAGAAAGGAGAAGAGCTGATGGGATATCAGCTGAGGAAAGGATAGTTTCTTCCTCTGATATAAGAAGCTGGACTCCTTTTGAATTATTTGGCATTCAGTCAGGAGATAAAAATACACTGGCTAGATGAACCACTGACCTCTTCTATGATCACAATAGCTGTAGTAGATGGGTGGGCAGGAAGAGCCTACAACTACACGTCTTCTCCATGTTCTCATCAAGCAAGCTTTAATCATTAATGGAGATGAAAGATAAGGCTAGAGTCACCTGGTTGAGGATGGACCCAGAGGGAAGGCTCCCTTTCACACTTTAAATCATAGCACCTCATCCTACACCACTGTCTCAGAGCCCCAGGTACCTGCTCAGGAGCACTGAAACTGACCTTGCTGAGACCCAGTCAGACATCTTTAGCTTTTCCACACAGCTCGGAACAATCTGTCATGCAAACCCAGCTAACCCCTTTGCAAAACACATTTGAGTGCTGTTTCTTTCACTTACTAACATGCATCCGTTGAACACGTAAGTTCAGGAACAAGCAGCAAAACAGCATCACTCCAAGAGGCACTGCTCTGATAAAATGTTCCACAGGGGGACCAACATCTTCTCCATTACACATCTTTTTTTGTAGCATCAGTACGAGATGTTTGTTTAAATGCACAGGAGTAGCAGGGCTTCAGCAGTTAAACAGCTATTTTGTGTACTCTGGGAAGGGAGACATCAACAGATTGCAAAATGGGAAAGTCTCTCTGGACACTGCAAACAAACAACATGTTACATAATTGGGCCTTTTGGGATCCAGAGGAAGGTCTCCAAAAGATCAGGGCCCTTCCAGTGCTTTCTAATTTTACTGGGACTTACCAGCAAGCCAGCCCTCTAGTAATAGAGGTCTGTACAAGCTTTCCTTTCATCTTTGTGTCTCCCTGCACTGCCCTCCCTTTGTTATCAGTGCCCTGGAAAAACACATCTTACTCAATTTTATCAAGCTGATTGATACAGCCTAGAATGGCAGAGATGAAGACGCAGTAAATATCAGAAAGGGCAGCAAAGACATCTCTTGGCCACTAGAGCATGGGAAAACCTGGAATATTAGAACTTTATTGAATCCAATGTGCTAGGAAATTGCACCATGCTACATAGCTGAGATTTAGCTGAAGTGCAGCACTATCAAGCAATGACAGAGCAAACAGGCTTCAGCTCTGTAATCCACATATTGTGCTAGCGTATCTTCTTTATCACCATTGGAGAAAACTCTTCCAAGGGATGATGCCTGTAAGCAGCAGCTCAGCTTCAGGACCACTCTGCCTTTGTGCTGCAGGGTTGTCCTAAACTTGTGCCCAGGCATACACGGACCTGAAGACAATTTTCCACAAATCAGACTGTACCAACTGTAGGTCCAACACCTGAACATGGACAAGCAGCTAAATTTTAGCTGAATACCTACTGCCTTTCAGGCACATTAGTAAATTGGGATATGTACGATCAGTTTCATCCTGTGCATATCCTCTCCCACCTGAATGGAGAAAGCCCCTTGGTCAATATCTTGCCCTGCAGTCATCACCGCCTTCCACCCCATTCCCCAAGCCCTCATCTGTACCAGGCTGTGAACTCCTAAAGTAGTGCTTCCTATGTACCATCCCTCCCTGCAATTCCAGGGAGAGGTAACAGAGATAGGATGGCACCTGCACAGAAAAAATACACTCAGGTTTCTAAGAAAGCTGTTTTCACCTGTTTCTTGCTTGCTGTGCACATTCTGACAGCTCATAAGAAGAGGGAGAGGCTTGCAGCCCCGGGGAGGGCATGCCAGCACACTCCAGGAGGCCAAGTAGCAGATCCAACAGGATGTGGTCAGCTTGTTTCCGGCACACCCCTTGGCTACTGGACGGTTGGCATAAGTCAGCAGTGAATAGCTTAGCAGAGGGAAGGCCAACACCAGAGGCAGTAGGCACAGCAATGGCAGAGACAAGACATCACCGTCTCACTGCAGAACCCTACATCATAGGCTAAGCACCAAAAGGCAGCACAGACTTTGATGAGGGACACCACAGAGATCCTGATCAGAGTGACGGATCCAAGACAAGGAGGTGTCCAAGACTCTCTGAGCGCAGTTGTATAACGTGTGGCCATGTATTTGGCCTGCCACATAAACATGTCACATCCCATGGGAACTGAGAATAAATGTCAAAGTCTAACTGCCAGCTAGCCCTGTTTTGCTAGCGCTGAGTGACCTGGATAAAAAGTAAAGAGCCTTTGGGAGATATCCTTATAGCCTAGTTCATTGCATCTCTGCAGACAACTCCCTGCTCCTCTCAAATGGGAAAAAAAAAGGCAAGTAACTGCATTCCTTTCTGCTACAGTTAATCATTCAGGAGCCAGGAACCATGTGCTCTCAACCCTTGTATGAGCAACACGCATATTCTGGCTTCCACATTGCTGGACTTGTGAAGCTCTTGCTCAGTATTTTGTCGGAAGTCAAAATCTGAACTGGTATAAATCCTGCCTGAGAACTACAAATCACCTTTTTTTTCTCCCCCTACTTCAAGCAGATACAGGTACAGACAGAACACAAGGACCACTTTTGGCACTAGCCATGGGTCTGTCTCAGCTCCTAAGAGACCAGTAATATGATTATACAACACCCAAGACAACACTGAGCTTTCCGTCAACACAGCAGAGCTTTTTATCAGTGACTGCTTCAAGTTCTACGCAGTGGTTTCGTGCTACAGAGCTTAGTCCATGTTGGCAGTGACTGATCTGCAAACACAGACTTCACTGTAGCAAGAGCCTGAGGCTGGACCAACAGAACTTCAGACTCTTGCTCCTCCAAGAGCACCAGCTGGGCAAGAAATGTCTTCATGACATACCCAAGGACAGATGTTTTCTATCATGATTAACTGAGCTAATTTATATTCTCCACGTAATGTAGTAAGGCTACAGCACTAATAATTTTTCCACCATCCACACAGCAACACGCAGAGGTAGCTTCCAACAGCTTTCAGCCTCTTTTATTTGAATGTAGCTGCAGTTGCGTCCTAGCCATGAGGCTTCCCTGCATGACAACACTTTGTCAAGATGTATCGGACAATGAGTCAGGCCTGCAGCCTTAAGAAGAGGAGGAGGTGAAGTGATCTTCACCAAAGCCCTGAGCAGAGCATCAGTAGAACAGGCTGTGGCCCAGTCTGAGGTAACCTAATCCTCAACTAGAAAGAGGAAGTAGGTACCACAGTTCATACACTCGATTTAAGCGCTTCACAAGACAGTCCTTGTGACTGAGTGGTCACAGACATTTTGGTTTTGTTCTCCGCTCCACTGTAGAGCAGAGGCTATAGAGGAGGCTGGGCTTCCAAATCAGTTCTACCTTCTTGGTGCTGCAAGGCTGGAGTGCCCCTGACCAGGCATCACTCTTTGGTCTCTTAGCAAGGCAGGAACGCAGCATTTCAGGTTCCCCAAAGCACATAAGGCCATTCATGGCTTACTGCAATGCGTTGGCACCCAAACACCCCTAGTGCAGCTCTGGGAGTCAAGTACATTTCATTTCAGGAGATACAGAGACAGTAAGAAAAATATAAAACCTTCACTTACACTATCTCATCATTCTGGAACTCCAGCTCCCCACAGGTGTCTTCAAAGTCTTCTCCTCCACCTTTGGCTGAGCCTTCAACGGTTTTGTAGGGAACAATAACATTTCCTCGTGCACCAGAGGTTCGCAACACTTTCACTTCCATGGTTCCCACGCTTTCACTGATGTGTGTTACTGGCTCCTCAAAGGTGAAGATGCCAGCATGGTCATCATCAAAAATGGTGACAGTAGCGGTAGATGGTGATCCCAGACAGGCAAGTGTTGAGACACGACTGGCCTCAAGAATGCCCTCATTTGAGGCCTCAGTACTCACACGGATGTTGCTAAGATGGACCAAGAAGTTCTCATCCTCCTCAAATATGTCATCATCGATTATGCCAACACGGATTTCTTTCTGGGTCTCTCCAGGCTTGAAGACGACTGTCCCTTCAGTGAACTCGTAGTCAGAGCCGGCATTGGCCGTCCCATCCTCTGTCCGGAAGTCAACATACACTGTGTTGGTCAAGTCACCTCCCCGGCGAATGATGGTCAGGGCCACAGTGCCACAGTTCTCCAAACACTGGTAGGTACCCTGCTCAAAGTAGAGCTTGCTGATGGGCTCATTTTCTGTCACCTCACTGTTGACCTCATGCATGCTGACAGCTTTGCGAGCCTGGTCTGCAGCATGTCTCTTCAAGATGTTGCCAGCTCCAGTCATGAGCCGAGTGGCCTGGATGCGGTAAAAAGCCCTGCTCTTCTGTTGCTGGCTCAGGACCTGGTAGTTGGCCAGCTCTATAAGCTGTTCAATTTCCTTGTCTGGGTGCTTTTGTTTCAGCTCTTTCAGGATCCGAGCCATTTCCCTCCTGGCCTCCTCATCATCCTGGTCCTTCTCATCCACCTCCAACACCAGTGTCCCATCCAAAAAGTTCTCCACATGAGAATTAGCAACCTTTCCGTCCATCTCAATATCAGCTTTGGAGGAGGGACGGTCACCCTCATGCTCTATGATCATACCTCTCTGCTTGCCAGCTCGGTATTTCTTGTAGACATACTTGTAAAATAAAAGCCTCCTGTCAGCTATCCAGGCAAACACCACACAGATGGGGAAGAAGAAGAAGGTGAGCAAGCCTTCCCAAACCTCCACAATCCCAGGAGAAGACACAGATAAAATAATGTAAAGCCAAGTGTAAGCAAAGATGCTCCAGGCTGCTGTAACAAAAAACACTCGCAAGTGCTTGATCTTCCTTGTCTCTCCATCTGGAACCACATACACACAGATTGCAATGATGACAAACATGTTAAACGCAGCACTCCCCACAATCGTGCTTGGCCCCAGGTCCCCTGCCGTGAAGCCATGGCCGCACACTTCGATAACAGACAGAAGTATCTCGGGGGCAGATGAGCCCAAGGCCATCAGTGTGAGGTTGGAAACAGTCTCATTCCAGATCCTCACAGTGGTTTTGCTGGTCTCACCATTGGGCTTCTTGATGGTTATTTCCCGCTCTTGGGATGTAATGACTTCGATGGAGGACATGAAGCGGTCAGCTATGATAGACACACCCAGGAACATGTACACCATCGCTACAAAATACACTGTTGCCCGAGCGATTTTGTCACCAAATGAGGGATCTTGGGGTTCCCATATTGGTAAAATCACACCCTTTTTGCAGATATACGAGCCAGCACATTCCTCCGTGTCATTCACAGGCAATTCACTGGGGCTCTCTGCATGCATGCCTTCTGCATGGAAGAGCAACACCAGCACAATGCTCAGGAGTCGGAAGCTCACTGGGAAGGTGGGTGGGTGAGTTACTCGCGACATGGCCGCTTCCACCAAACAGCTCCCAAATATCCTCAACCTGCAGAGACAAAAGCAAAGATGTGTTAAGTGAGGCCAACCAGAGATAACAGATTTTCCTTTCCACCCTCTCTATTCATATCTAACATTTTTCCCAAACATATAATCAAGTTATCCTGTTACTCAAGAAGACCCATCTAATGAGCCCATTTTCTTATGATTACTGACGTTTTCCATGTAGAAATGCTCTAGTTCAGTCATCTGAACCAGAATGGATTTAAATGCTACCAATGGGCTAGCACCTACCCCCTCTAGTTACTATGATGTTTCTTTCTCTTTGCTGAAAGCCTATTTGTTCAATTGTGTTTTCTTGTTCCTCATCTAATTAAAGCCCATCATTCTTCTTCACAGCTGGCAGAAGTGTGTCCCTGGCAAAACCTTAATCTTAACAGTAACTTGGTCATAAGGTGCACCAGAAGGGCAGTCTGTAATTAATGATTTTGGAGTCATTCCTTTCACAGCGCATCACTTTGCACCTTCCCAAAACTGGAAAGAGCCCCATATGCATCAAAGCCTGGCTCTCTTGGCAGGCTTCAAGAGGAAAACATGTCCCTGTGCTCTTTTCCCACTAGGTCAGCTTTGACGGCTTCCCCTTCAAGGGCCTTCCTCACTTCATTTACAACATCATTCATCAGGCATGACAGCAGTACTTGCCCTTGTCCTGCCTCAGGATTTTCCAGCAATGTAGAGGAGCTGTTAAAAAGGTTTGCAGTTAGTTAACAGTGCATAAACCAACAGAACAGATGCCTTTAACTATAAAGAGATGCTTAGTGCAAAAACCTGAGCATGCTCAGTATTACATCTGCAATTTCACTAGCCAATAAAAGCCAGATCCCTAGTTATTAAAGCTATATTTTCTCCTCAAGGAGAGCCTTTTCTATTCTACACTTCTCCAATCCAAGTTAATTTAATCACACGGTACTTAAAAATGTTTCTATGAAGAGAGGAAAATGAGTACATCAATACTTTGACTTTGCTGGAAAATACAAAAAAATGAACTGATTTTGCCTATAAAAACCACATACCCTTGAAAGAAAAGGAAAAAAATACTCAGACATGAAAGGTTTTAATGTCTAAGAGAAGGATCTCATCTACAGGCCCATATTAGAGGTGGGACACAAGCAGGAGACCCAGTCAATGCATCCCCAAGTCCAACCTTCACAGCGCCTGGCAGGTCTCACCCTACCATTTGCCATCTGCCCCATCTCCAGCAAAAACACACCAGGTCTGACAGCTGCACAGCTGCATGCACTGGGAGAGACAGACCAACCCATCCACACTAATGGTGGCACCCAGTGACAGCATCCCAGCTGTCACCTGTGCCCAATCATAGCAATCAGGACCCAAGCAGGATGGCTAAGCACACCTTCCCTCTTCCTTTGGAAAGAGGGCTTGTTTCACAGCACAGTTGGGAAACAGGCTGCCTCTCCAGCCATAGAGCAGGCTACACATTGCTGACTGCAATAGTACAGCCAGGCTCCTGGGGAGAAGCATTTACCCTCCTAGACAGGGACACACCAACACTTCCTTGAAGAAAAGCACCCGGTCACCACCACCTGTCTCCTTCTCCCCCTTGACAAGCCACCCCTCCTTTTTAGGGCAGGGGCATATTACACAGGGACAGGGCTGTGAGCAACCGAACACCTGGTTGGAAGGAGCAATGAGTACCATCCCGCACCCATGTCCCTCCATGTCTCTCCACAAAGAGACATTGTAATAATAGATCACAGCCCTCTCCTCCATTTGTTTTTATTTACGGATGCTGTAGTAGTCTTATTGTGCTGGAAGAATAATACTGAGAATTTATAAAGAAAGTTTTATATAAACGGCATTTTCTCTGCCTCCAATCCCCCCTTTCCCAATTTTGCAATTAAGAAGAGAAAAAGATACATAGCGGAGGATGTGATCAAGTCAGAGAGCTGGGTGATAAAAACAGAAAAGATGAACAAGAAAAAGCAAGTATCTTGTAGGAAGATGCATTTAAAAGAAAGTTGTTTGCATTGGAAATCCTACTAATGCTACAAAAAACCTCATACTGATGCACTCAGAATCCCTGAACATTGTGTCCCTGATCATAGTCCCTGGGTACCTTCTGCTTCCCCAAATGCAATCTGTAGTCACTGCTTACTAACCTGAAGTAAGAAAAAAAAGAAAAAATGATGTTTGTAAAGAAGTATACCTTGTTGCAGTCCATTCAGTGGACAGCTAAGTTGAAACAGATGTGCACTCATGGTCATTGAAGTTTAGCTGACGCATGAATTAGTCACCCAACATCTGTACTCCTATGTTTCACGCAAACCAAGACATTTGATAAGGGGGCTGTCAAAGCACAGGCTGATTTGGTACCTACTCTCTTTATCCCAGATAATTCCTAAGTGTAGTTTTGTTTCCTTTTTAAATATGTAGGCTTAAAAAATTCATTGTGGGCATAAAATATTACTCAGCATGGTTCTGCACCCTCTCCTTCTAAAGGGTAGTAGTTTCTTCAGAAATCCACCTGCCCTTGTTCAGTTAATTTTTCTCCCTGTGGCAAGTCATATCCCTGCACATATACAATTATTCAGAGCAATCAGGCATTGTGAAATCCCCTTGGCAAGAAGAGAAAACAGATGGTTCTAGAAAAAATATTATGCTTTGGGTCACTGATTTAGGTCATAAAGAATAGGAGAGTCCCATCACACTTTGGACCAGCTCTACAGTCTTAAAAGGATTTGATTTGGGCATGGGAATCTCATCCAGAAAACAAAGACACCCACTAACTCAAATTAATAGGCCATTTGAACTTTATTTGCCATGTTTTTCCCTTTCAGACATTTTAATATAAGCTGGTTTTGGGTTTGTTTTTTTTTTGTTTGGGTTTTTTAAAATCAAGTCCCATATTACATTAAACAAGAGGAAAAATGCAACTGAGAAATCCATATATCTGGCATTCCCAACCAGCACTCCATGTACAAACAACAATTTTCCTCAGATTGCAGGAGGTAAGAAACTTCGAAATTTTCTGGAGTCCTCAGAGGGGTGAGAAAGGGCCGGAACTTTGGAAGAGAAACCAACCAGCTGTGCCAATGAGCCTTCTTTGAGCAGCAGTAGCCTTCCTCAACTCTGTGTTGTACTTTCTCCATCATTTTGTGGCTTCATCAAGCAAGATTCACATAGCCTCACAAGCCTTCCTATTTAAACCAGTTGACAGTGAAGTTCAGGAATTAAAGAGGGCTAGAAAATGCTTGGCCACAGCATGCTGGTTACACACATGCAACCAGAGCCTGACACTCAAAATATCTCTGAGAAGGAATTGCTATAAAATCATCAGCATTTCTGTATTTACACCATCCCAAATAAACAGCTTGGTCTCCAGAGACCCTCTTACTCTGCATTTGCCTAGGGTCTCAGCCCACGGTCAGCACACTGTGGCAGGCACAGTGGTAGGAATATTCCCAGACATTATTCTATAATGAGAAGCAAGGCTAGCAGAAGACCAGCCCTCCCTCCAAACCCAAGTCTGTTAGCTTTTCATTAAGGTGTTTCAATTGCATTTCCCATCCTGGCCATCAACAATAAAAGCAAGCGTGGTAGCTGATGCAAAGTGTGCCAGGCTGGCAGCCCGGGCAAACTGCCTGCAGTGATGCTCGTGGCCTTGGTGGCACTACCTCAATGCCTCTGGGGTCAGATGCATCATGGCAACACCAAGCAGGGGTGCAGGCTGCTTTCGGGCTCAATGCTGGCTATGCATGTGTGGTGAAGAATGCCACACCACCATCCTGGGCCAGCACAACCCTGCCCAGGGACAGCGCCCAGAGCCCTTTTTACCACTGCGGGAGTGGAACTGTCCTGGGGCTGCCAGAGAGCCTTCAGGAAGAACTAATCAGGAGAGACAGAGCCCAACCTGGGTTCCCCTGAAGTTGCAGCTGAGCCCCCTCCTTTTTCAGACAAGCTCCACAGAGTGCCAGGTTTTATACAGTCAGGGAGGAAAGCCCACGAGAGGCTGCATGGCAAGCACAGTAGCTCAGATGTAGCTCCCAGCCAAGCAATGTCCATCCAGCCTTCATTCCAACCCTTGGTGGTGTGAAACACCGGGAGGGCAGTTGTTGCCCACAGCAGGGCTAGAAGGGTTGCAAAGACACTTGGTCCCCTGC